CTATAAGACCTACCCGGATAGAACTGCATTGATGATGCTTGTAGGGATGAAATTGCCAGGCTTGCTTCAGATGCTGGGTCTGACCTTCTTTTTACAGATGAGTGATCACGTTAAAACTTTTGGAGCAGAGTCATTCCAAAGTAACTATAAGCCCTACCAGGACCAAACTTGCATGGATGATGCACCTTGGGATGGACACGACCAAACTTGCTTCGGATACTTCTGATCTATATACATGTATTTCAGATGAAAGACCAGGTTAAAAGTTTTTTAGCAGGTCCTTTCCAAAGTACATTGTAACTGCAAGCCCTACATGTCTATGGACCAAACTTACTTGGATCATGCATATAGAGATGGACAAACCAATGTGTTTCAAATGCTGGATTTGACCTACATTTTCCAGATGAGTGAACAGGTCAATTGTTTTGGAGCAGGCCAATACCAAAGTAACTACACACGCTACCTCGACCAAACTTGCTTTGATCATGCATTTAGGGATGGACGTTAACCAATCTGCTTTTGTTGCTGGATCTGACCTACATTTTCCAGATAAGTGACCATTGTAAAGTTTTCGAAGCAGGCTCATTCCCAATTAACTTCAAGACCTATGTGCACCAAACTTGCATGGATGATGCATCTAGGGATAGACACTAACAATCTGCTTCGGATGCTGTATCTGACCTACATTTTTCTAGATGAGTGACTACATTGTAGGTTAATGATTTTGGAGCAGATCCTTTCCCAAGAACCATTTCTGTACCAAACTTACTTAGGGATGGACACTACCAGACTTGCTTCAGATGCTTGATCTGACCTACTTTTATCTGATGAATGACCAGAATAAAAATTTGGAAGCACGTTCATTCCCAAGTAATTTCAATACCTACCTGAACCAAACTTTCATGGATGATGCATCTAGGGATGTACACTACCTAATCAGCTGGATTTGACCTATATTTCCAAATGAGTGAAAATTTGCCCTACCTGAACCAAACTAGCATGGATGATGTATCTAGGAATGGACACTAACAGACTTGCTTCGGATGATGAATCTGATCTATATTTATTTAAAATACTGATCAGGGTTTTGTTTTTGGAAAAGCTATATAACTTTCATGGATGATGCAACAAGGGTTGAACATTACAAGACTGCTTCGGATATTTGAACTAATCTACATTTCTACATTTTATGGATGAGTGAACAGGAAGAAGTGTTTGGAGCAGGTCCATTCCCAAGTAAAGATATGTTCTACTTAAATCAAACTTGCATATGGATATTGATCTCAGAATGCACAGAATGCACTAGTGGAAAAATTGTTTAGATTTGTCTTACTTGTGGGTAACATTTGTGGAGGTGAGCTTCTTAATCTTTGATTACGGATATCTCTAAGTTGATTCGATACACAAGAGCATGCTCTACGTATGAACAATTTCTAAAATGAGGTAAGTTATTGACAAAGTTGACGAAACAAGAGTATCAGCAGTCTCGTTTAAAGTCGTCATTTTGTAAGTTCTATGGTCGATACAATGACCTTGTCAGCAAATACAATTTATCATTAAGTCAATGCTGACTGACGTTTTTCATACTAATAGTTAGGCCATTATTTGAATTGTCGACGGATTTTTCCGTTATTTTTCGATCGTGACAAGGAGCACAAGCGGGTGTGACCGGTCGGCAGGGGATGCTCACTCTTCCATGGCACCTGATCCTACCTCTGATGTTTTAGATGTCAGTGTTTGCTCTTCTCCAAACTTTGTATGGTTTAATGGACTTTTGAGCTTGAATACTGTTCGTTATCTCCATATATTTCATTACCTATCTTTCTCTTTTAAAAATTACATGTATATTCTTACACGAGATGACTGCCTGTGACAGTGCAATATTTTTGTTTTGTAAAATTCATTGTATCTTCAAAAATGATCATAACAACTTATATCTAACGCATAGTCAATTTATTTGCCTTTTATTGTATGTTTAATCACCGCACAAATTTAACAATAACAAAAATGGTTCTCTTGGGATGCTAATTAATGACAGTGATGTTTTTACAATGCTTCATATGAAGCTACGAGCTTGTGTGTTATAAAAATTAAATTATTTTAACAAATTCATTTTTAATTATATTTTATCACTGCTACTTGAAAAGCTGATGGTACTGGTACATGTAATACATATTGGAGTACACACATACATGTTCATACCGTTCACGTTCACTCGCTCCCTGATCGGGAGGTCATGAGTTCGAATCTCGCCGCGACTGACCTAAGTCGATAAAAAATGGGTAGCAACCGTTCCTTCGCCATGTGCTCTGCACTTTGAAGTGAAAGTTGCGGGTCCTTCCGATGAGACCTTAAAACCGAGGCCCCCGTGTCGCGGCAGACGTTGGCACGATAAAGAACCCTCACTGCTCAATGGCCCTGAGTGCCGAGTAAAGGTAAAAATTTGAAGCCCTTCACTGGTATATGTTGACGTCTCTATATGAGTGACGCTCCGTGATCGGGAGGTCGTGAGTTCGAATCTCGGCCGCGACAGACCTAAGTCGATAAAAAATAGGTAGCAACTGTTCCTTCGCCATGCGCTCCGCACTTTGAAGTGAAAGTTGCGGGTCCTTCGGATGAGACCTTAAAAACCGAGGCCCCGTGTCACGGCAGGCGTTGGCACGATAAAGATCCCTCACTGCTCAATGGCCCTGAGTGCCGAGTAAAGGTCAAAATTTGAAGCCCTTCACCGGTATATGGTGACGTCTCTATATGAGTGAAATATTCTCGAATGGGACGTAAAACAATATACATATATGAGTGAAAAATTCTCGAATGGGACGTAAAACAACATACAATCAATCAATCATAAATGTTCACTCTGTGATGAAGAAAATTTTACTTCTCATTATCAACGTCTATTATTGTTATTAGGCAATAATGAATTTTCATCCTGTATTAAGGTTCTCATTATTACATAGAGGATTGCACATAGGTCCCTTCTTCCATCTTCCTTTTTTATTAGACAATGAAATAGAAAACTCGTCAAAACCATGTTTATCAGGAGCCCAGAAGAATAAATTTGCATTATTGTTGGATATAATATAGGTACGTACTGGTATGAGAAGAAATGACATAACGAAATGACATAACGCATGTTTTTATGTAATTTTTAACACATTAATTAGATAAATTTCTAAATAGCCATTGTTCATTTGTTCATAATCGTGATCTTGATCTTCATCTGAGTATTCTAATTTGAACAAACTCTGGTGCTGGCCAGAATCATCTATAGACTAACCGCATAAATTTCAGTGGTTCTGACTTATAGCCCATTATAATCAAAAATCCGATCCATATGCTATAAATGTGAATAGGAAAGGAAGATATGGAAAGATATACATGTACATGTACTAAGTACATGTATAACCTCAGCCAAAATTTATACCAATTTAACAATTTTGAAAGCGGGGTCCTGTGTATATTTAAACTTTTCCGGCTGTAATTAAACAAAACATATGAGTTTCCTTTCACTAGAATATAATAAAATTTCAACATGAAGGCAATGTAGCCCCTCCAATCCATAGAGCACATGGATTTCATAATTAGTCCCCCTACCGGTGAAACCGGAGGGGACTATAGGTTTTCTCTGAGTCTGTCAGTCTGTCTGTCTGTTTGTCCCTCTGTCTGTCTGTCTGTCAGTCTCTCCTACTTGGTTTTTTCTGCACATTTTTTAAACGCTTGCAGATATTGAGCTGATTTTTGGTATGAGTGTATCTTGATGGGTTACAGATCAAGTTTGCATTTCTTTCCGCTGCAATGATTTTTGATGGAATTACGACATTTTCAAGTTTTCAGGGTTTTCCGCAATTTTTTTTCTAAACGTTTGCAGATATTGAGCTGATTTTTGGTATGTGACTTTACCCTCATGAGTTATAGATCAAGTTTGCATTTCGTTCCACTTCATTGATTTTTGACGGAATAATGGCAATTTCAATTTTTAACGGGAACCAGATCACACTTGCCGGTAGAGGAATAGTATTACTAATGCAATACTCTCAGAATGCTTGTTGTCATAGACGTCTTATAATGTAACCTAGAATATCTACATTGTCCTCTAATTACATAAGGGTAAATAAAACAAATTGTAAAGATTTTCATGGAGTGGGTATTTAAAAATGCAATTTTTGCCCTATTCACCTACAGTTCCAAAATAAATTAAACTGGTTCAGAATTTCCACAGAATATGCTAAAACGTGTAAAGGGCAACGATCAAAAGCAAATACATTTGTTGCAATGAGTTACGATATCACTTTCTAAAATGTATAAATAAATAAATAAATAAATAAATAAATAAATAAATAAATAAAGGAAATTTAAATATAATAGTACAAACTAATGCAACATAAACTGGTACTTTTATGACATTGCGCATAATTTTTTCGTTTTATTTAAATAAGATTATTAGAAATTAAGCCTGTATAACATGTATAATTTATGACACCAAATATACAAACCCATGAATGAAAAAAAAAATTTACAAAGCATTACAAATTACCAACAAACGAAAAAAGAATGTCAAATTTTCGGGAGACATTGGCCATAAAAAGTAATATAAGGCAAAGGAAATGAAAAAAAAAAAAAAAAAAAAAAAAAAAAAAACTAAGAAAAATAGCTTTACATGTACAATTAAAAATACATGCATTATTCTAAATATGTACATGCTTAATTTTGAAGTTGAAAACAAATTAATTCTAAATGATTCGGAGCTCAGTGTAACCCATCCGGTATATCTGGGGTACTCTGGTAAAGTGCTAATTACATGAACGAATACTACCAAAGTAGTAAATCGTACAATATTGTATTATCAAAAGTAAGTATGGCTTTAGATGTCGGAGGAAAAAAAAAACAACGTGAAAGATAAAAATAAGGGGAAGATTTCAAAAACAAATTAAGAAGTAATTCTAAATTCTAGATATATTTTCAACAATAAAAATAAAATCAAACTTTTTCTTTGACAATAGTGCTAACGTGTATGAATGCTCTCTACTGATACTGAATGCAAATCAAATTGTGTAAAGATGACATATTTAAAAGAAGATTATATCGATGGAGGTTTTCATATTTCAAAGTTACATTTTGTACATTTTAATATGAACATTAAACATATATGTACATGATATCTTTCATTCCTACCACGTGTTTGGTCTTGCGACATCGATCAGCTGCAGTTTATTTCTTTGCTCTGCATCCTGGGATAAAACTTCATGAAAATTTGCAATCATGTGGGCAACGATAACATCATCGTTATCAACTAAGGAAATTACTTGAATGTTGTTTGAATTTTCAGTTCCACATTTCACTATTGCTTTTGCTGTGCATTGAAATATTTTCTTCTTCTTGCTTTTGTCAGTGATTCCTTTCAAGAATGAACAATGTATTATTTATTCAAATATACATAATCAATTAAAAGATGATATTTTAAAATTAAGAATTGATTACATTTGAAATCTACTTTTTATTCTCATTAATATGTATTTTCGAAGGCTGTCCTGTTAAATCGTGGACAACATGCTTTTATTGAAAAATACCCAGTCATGCACCCACTTATAGCTGAAATTTTCATCAAATAATTATCTCTCATATTTAAGTACATATTTTTCGTGCTTTTGCACAAAAAAATGGATGGTGAAAAGATACGTAATATCATCCATATGGTGTTATAACACATAAAACTAGATGAGACAGTATTACTGTCATGAGACAGTAATACTCGCACAAATGTGTTTGCCTCTAAACAAAGGCACTAGCATCAGGGGGGCCAAAGGGGGCCTGCCCCCCCCTTTTTCGAAACAAGTTTATACTATTGAAAATGTTCATGAACGGGTGCCCCCCCCCACTTTTTGTTGCATTATAGTCGAATAAAGGAAAAGTAGTAGTATATATATAAAATTGGAGTACTGAAAGAAGTTGGAATCCACCCCACCTCCTCCTCCCCCCACCCCCCACGAAATAGGATTTTTGAGTTTTGAAAAAAAAAATTAGGGGGCTTGTCAAATTTTTTCAGGTAAGTTGAAATTTTTTTCTCTGGCTACCCCCTCCCCCCCACTTTCAAAAACGTTGCTACGTCCCTGAAATGTGCTTTGACTGCTCTCCTTCAAATTCTGGTAACCAGGTAAGAAGCACACATTCAAATCATGCATAAAATGCTCAGGTGAACATGCAGCCCATATGGGCCTCTTATGTAAATCAGGTGCGGATCCAGAAATTTTTTCCAGAGGGATCCAACCCAGAAATTTCTTGACAAGCAAAAAAAAAAAATTCTATTTCATGGTGGTGGTGGTGGTGGGGGGGGGGGGGGGGGGGGGTCTGGCCGCTTACATTTTAAGCTTTGTATGTATAACTTTTCAACTTAACAGGGGTCCGTGTTTTCTAGGGAGTGGGGGTTCCAAGGTCACTTTTAGTTGCTTTCGTATATAGATTTCGTGTATAGGTTCCGGACCCCCCCCCTCTAGATCCGCGCATGTAAATATTTCATTACCAGTCTGATATTACCTAATAATGTAAATTCTGATAAAGAGAGAATTTTTGAAAGATTTGTGTAAAATAAAAAAGGGTGTTTAATTTTCTACCCATAATTGGAACTTTTTGAATTTATTGTCAAAACAACAAATATTATTATTTTAGTGCATAGCTTTTTTGATGAACTTAAAAAAAATAGATGCCAACTTGTGCAAATTTTTATCAGTATTTGGGTAGGACTCGGAGAACCCCTTTCCAAATCTTGTCCCAATCAACTTTGTCAAAAAACAACCCCATCCACTATTCACCCGTTTTCCTGTCATATTTAGAATAGATAACACAAACTTATGAAAAAAAATTGTATGTAATTATAATATAAATTTTACAAATATACACCTTTTTGGAAAATTTCTAGACTCGTGCGTGGAATTACGTCACACTGCGAGCACTGCTTTTACCGTTCTCATTATTGTTTTGCACATGATGTACGTACATCATTATTACCACTGGGATTATTAATATTTAGTGTGTGTTTTAAACGGATTTATTATTCTATCAAGTTAATAGTACCTATAACAGGCGGTAAGTACATTATGAATATATTATTTTAAACGTTTAGTATAGAACAGGGTTTGTTTGTTGTTTAACGTCCTTCTCGAGAATTTTTCACTCATATGGAGACGCCACCACTTGCCGGTGGAGGGCTGCAAATTTTAACCTATGGTCGACACTTATGACCATTGAGCAGTGAGGGATCTTTTTTCGTGCCAACAACTACTGCAACACGGGACCTCGGTTTATACAGTCTCTTCCAAAGAACTGGTCTCCACGTCCCGCAATGGATTCGAACCCGCGACTTAAGGATCAACTCCTTACTCCACGACTCTAGAGCAGACATTCTAACCACTGCGCCACACGGGCGACTAGAACGGGGTAAAATAATCGGAAATGAAAATGGTTAGGGACCCATAGTTGGGAAAGGGTCAAAGATCATTGGAATGCCACAATTATACAAATTATACAATGAGGCAAGTCCCTGGGGTCATTCCACTCGATCTTTGGAACCGGAAACAATAAAATAGCTTTCATTATAGCAAAAGCCCCTAAGTCATCTTTGTATTATAACACACTAAATAGGATACATGTATATTGGGTCATGACCCCCAGAGGTCATTCCCAACCCCTAAAACTTCAAATGATCATATACATTGTATCTTGAAAATGATTGAAAACTCTCCCCTTAACCATATATAATATTGTCCCTCGAGTCATTATGCATTAAATGGTATAAAAGTTATGACCCCTTGAAGTCATCTTCATCCTGAAACTGGAAATAATCAAAATATGACCTGCATCAAAAGTGTCTTAGTGATAATCTGCTTGTCATTTTATTCAGGACCCTCTAGGGTCAGTCCACCCTCCTAGAATTAGAAAATGAAAATCATTCAGAGACCTGCCATTATACTTTGTGTACATGTACATTTTTGTATTATTCACAATTTATTTTATACCAAAACAAGTTATAAATAATTTGTATAAAGAAATGAGCCTGGGGCTGGGAAGGGGGGAAAGGGGAAGGAGTTATGTCTGCATGGTCTTAAATGTTGAAAACCCCTAAAATTTGTGTTTATTAACCCGGCCGTTTCCCACTTGTCATCATTATTTACTGATCTTCTCTCAACATACATGTGTCTTTATTAAATCAATAGATCATGGATTTTTTTGGTCATATGCCTAGGTCTCCCTTGAATCAGGAATGGGGATATAAATATTTTAAGAATGATTAAGAATTAAAACAGGTCTTGCACAATCTCTTAAAATTGATTAAGCTCTGTAGTTGAATTAGCTATACTGGTATAGCTTGGTTTTGCTATTCAAAACACTTGATTTAGCTATTTAATCATACTTTTTTAATGTACATTTTTATCAATATAGATAAAAGTTGCACTATGTTGACATGGGTATAAATTCAAAATTTTCAGTTTTGAGTTTTCTGAAAACAATGCATGGAGGAAAATTGCTTTTCAAAAATTGTCTCCTGAGAATTTGCTATCACAATTATATATATATTTTGCATGGGGCTATATACCTGGAGTAATCTCTCTCTCTCTCTCTCTCTCTCTCTCTCTCTCTCTCTCTCTCTCTAACATCTACTTGAGTCAAATTTAAAGTGGAATTATAAGACAATGATTTTTAATTGATGACTTTTTAGGATTTTACACTAATTCATACTGCAGCAAGAATGTTATTCCTCCCAGAAAAAAAAGTTTACTCACTATCTTGTCTTTGATCTATATCTATAATTACAAAAGGACACAGCCAGAAGTCTTTTAACATGGTTTGTTACAAATTTCACTGGGAACTCCTATCAATTTGCTCAAGATCAGTATTTTCGGTAGGCAGAAATGAACTTGGTCATGACAATTATGCTTGAAAAGTACTCACTGTGAACAATCACCTGACTTGTTGAAGACAGGTAAACATACCCCTCAGGGTATACTTATCATACAAAGGCCTGTACAATATTGAAGTCATAATTAAATCATCATTATCTTAGTTAAGATAAGAAGAAACACACTAGAGGTTTAATGAAATATTTAGGAACACAAAGATTTTTATTTCTCATGCAAAATAATCTCTCTTGTGTAAAACATACCAATTGTTCAAATGAAGGGCCAAACCTTCTTTTAAGGGGAGATAAGAATGAGTGAAAATTTAATGTTATTTCAAAAATCTGAAGAACAACTGGGCTAGAAAAGTTCAAAATTATGTGAAACTTCAATACTTAGTGTAGATTCAACTTTGTCCAAATCATGACCTTCAGGGGTAGGGTGCGGCCACAATAAGGGATCAAAGTTTTGTAAGTAAAACGTGCTTATAACAAAGTGCCTGAGACAGATGATTTTGCTTTATTATAAGTGTAATTGCTTATATCCATTAAGTTTACAATATATTTTAAAGTCATAAGGAATGAAAATTGCTTTGCTGTAAGTGTCAATTCATTATAGGCTTGTTTCGCTATAAGTATGCTTTACTGTATAAGAAAAAAATTCCTTCTCAAGAACCACTACGCAAGAAAAGTTAAATCTTATGTGAAAGTTTCATTACATAATGTAGAAACAAATTTGTTCTTTCAAAACTACTCCTCCTACAGGTTTGATGCAACAAGTAGACTATACTAGTCTACATATTGTTTTTGTCAGTTTTCTTCTTCAATAAAATTTTGTCCGAGCCTTAACTTGACAACCCTTTGACATTAAGACTTAAAACTTGAAACATGAAGAGGCGGTATGGAATTGGGGTTGAGGCCAGCAAACTCTTTTTACCTTGACCTTTCGATAAGGTCAAGGTCAATCTTTACATAAAAATATAGTCCAGACTATAACCTGAGAACCCTTTGACATAAGGATTTCAAATTTGTAACATAGAAAAAAGACATTTACAAAAGGTGCACTGCACTAAAATGTTGACCTTGACTCCTTTCTTCATTCAAGGTCAAATTGAGAAAAAAATCTCCAAACCATAACTTAAGAACCTTTTGACATTAAAACTTCAATCTTGGAACATGGAGAGGTGGTATGGAGAAAGGGTGTATGCAAACATAATTTTTTACCTTGTTTTTATATATGAATATGGCCGGTGCATATAGTGTTTTTCATGTCCGTCTTCCGTCCTTTCATCCTTCCGTCCTTCTGTCTGTCTTTCTGTTACGCTTTGCGTTTAGCTCTGTTCAAAGCTCAGTTTCAAAGAAACTATCGAAGATATTTTTATCAAACTTCATATGCTGATAGATATTGATGAGAGCTATGTAACTGCATCAACATTTTATGACCTTGACCTCATTTTCTTAACTTAGCGTTTAGCTCAGTTTTAAAGATACCATTCAAGATAGTGTAATTAAACTTCTTACGTTGTTACATACTGATGTAAGCTTTCAACTGCATCAGCATTTTTTGACCTTGACCTTTCCTTTGACCTTGACTTCACTTTTCTTAAATTAGTGTTTAACTAAGTTTTAATGAAATCATTCAGGATATCTTTATCAAACTTCATATTTTGATACATACTGATGAGAGCTATTCAACTGCATCAATATTTTTTGACCTTGACCTTTCCTTTGACCATGACCTCACTTTTCTTGAATTAGTGTTTAGCTCAGTTTTAAAGATACCATTCCAGAAAGTGTAATCAAACTTCATATGTTGATGCATACTGATGTAAGCTATTCAACTGAATCAACATTTTTTGACTTGACCTTTCCTTTGACCTTGACCTCACTTTTCTTAAATTAGTGTTCAGCTCAGTTTTAATGAAATCATTCAAGATATTTTAATCTTACTTCATATGCTGATACATACTAATGAGGGCTATTCAACTGCATCAATATTTTTTGACCTTGACCTTTCCTCTGACCTTGACCCCAATTTTCTTAAATTTGTGTCAAAATTCATATGCTGATACATACTGATGTAAGCCATTCAACTGCATCAATATTTTTTGCCCTTGAACTATCCTTTGACCTTTACTTCATTTATTTTAAATTAGTGTTTAGCTCAGTTCTAAATAAACCATTCAAAATATTTTAATCAAACTTAATATGCTGATACATATTTGTGAGAACTATTCAACTGCATCAAAATGTTTGACTTTTAACTTTCCTGTGACCTTGACCTCACTTTTCTTTAAATTTGCATTTTGCTTAATTTTAAAGAAACCATTTTAGATATATTTATGTAAACTTATGCACTTATACATAATTTGGTGAGAGTTTATCATCATATCCAACTTTTTAGATTTCAATTTCAATTTTAAAGAAACTATTCAAGATATTCTCATCAAATTTCATACACTAATACAAATTTTCATGTTGCATTACTAATAAACCCTCGGCAGGGCATTCATGTCCTATGGACATATTTCTAGTTGTATTAAAAAACATCATTTTTCGACCCCCATATGACCCCCAGGATGAAAATGAAAATTCCGAAACCTTGCTTCACATCTACAGGACACCATCAACCATTTCCCAAAAGACGATTAGGCTACTGTGTAAAATGTAAGAGGAGTTCAGGGAACCAGGGGCTTTTTGCATAAAAAACGTCATTTTCCGACCCCTATTTGAACCCCGGGGTGAAAATGAAAATTCCAAAACCTTACTGCACATCTACATGACACCACCAAACATCTCCCAAAAGATGATTAGGCTACTGTGTAAAATGTAAGAGGAGTTCAGGGAACCAGGGGCTTTTTGCATAAAAAACGTCATTTTTTGACCCCCATTTGACCCCCAGGGTGAAAATGAAAATTTCGAAACTTTACTGCACATCTACGTGACACCACCAAACATCTCCCAAAAGATGATTAGGCTACTGTGTAAAATGTAAGAGGAGTTTGAGAAAGAAGAGTGTCACAGACGGACGGACAGACATGAGTAACAACAATATACCCGAACTTTCTTTAGAAAGTAAGGGTATAATAAAATCCAGAATTGTGTTTATTTGAGCATAAATCTATTGAAATTTTCTATGAATATTGATGAAATATGTACTAAAGAATTGTGAAGATTGCAGAACGCTGTTTTGATTATGTTTCATTTTAAACTTGCCCACAATTTTACCGGACAATTCTCGTTCTAAGTATAAATCACCAATCACTATGTCTTACCTCCCCCAAATAATGGAATTAGTAATGTCTTCAGCTTCAGATTGTTGGCCATTTTGAATATGTTTATGATACATACTTCCAATTCTTCCAAAATATTTATTTCTAAATCACTGTTTTTCACGAATGACCAGTTTGGAGAGAAAACATGCAGAATGTTTTTGATATTTGGGAGTGTTTCTGGAGCACATGTACGCCTGACATTGCCGATATTCCAGTATCTTCCTCTCCAATCGCTCATTTCATTTTCATATTTATCAGATTTGCATTGCATCAGTCTGGAGGCAACATTTCGTTTACTTTTCATATCTCTGTCTTGCTCAATTACCAGTCCATCAGCTTCCAAGAAAATGATTTCTCCAGAAAGTATTTTCACAACCATTCCTGAATCCAGATAAAAGTCATTTTCATTTCCTTCCTTATGGTAAACCCAGTGTTGTTTACGTAAAAAGGAATTTTTAATGCCTTGAAGTTTGGTTTGGTCGGTATCAACGAAGTATATATCCTTCAATTTACTTTTCTTTGATTCAGTACCAATGAAAGTATTCACAGCTCTAGTATAAGCCATACAGCAGATCGGAAGTGGCACTGCACTTAGGGCGCCTACAGACACAGAATAAACTGCACTGAAATTTATACAACTGTAAAAAAGGTTTTGTTGCGGCTCAATTCACATTTTATTAATAGTAATACACTGACTTTGGATGATTTGTACATAATTCTCAATCTACACTTTAAAAATTACAAGCATCTTTTGTTCCGTTAAAAGTATATATCAAAAGGTTACATTTCTTGAAAGAAATACTAGTATTTGATCACGAAATGCCTCTTAAATTTCAATCAAAATGACCTTTATTCAAGATTAATGTATGCCATATGCTAAAAAATAAATAATTTGGCCAAAATCTAATATTATGCGCTTTGATACAACCAAGCTTTCAGTTGACAAATGTAAAAGCAATATCGAACAGCTACTTACCTGCACTGATTGCAGGGATTGCAATTGAATTAACATCGTCGAGCTCGGATAAACATGCTTGAACCGTGAATATAATATCAGACATGCAATCTTTGCATGGATTCTCTGATTTAGCATAAAATTCCCATTTTGGTACATTCACATGAATGATTTTTTGACAACGTTGTAACTTTCCTGCTCCAGTGACAAAAGCCTCTCCAATAGGAATTATTCCTTCCTTCTGAATTTTAATAAAATCGGAACATTGGCCTCTTACTGATTGTCCAGCTTCTCTAAAGATGTAAGAAGACAACCCCCCGTGAGACTGAAGTGTGTTGTTTGAGGGATTCACAATTACATCTGTATTTATATGAGTAATGTCTGCTCTGCAGGCATATACTTTTACACCTTTTCCCTCAAAGACAATATCAGATTTTTGAGGGGAAATTGGATAGGAATAGTATTGTGGCAAATCACCTCTTGAACCTCTGCTGAAATCAGTTGAACTACTGCCCCTTTTCGCAACTTGGTTTCTTAAATTTTGTTTGCTGAGCCTGTCTGCTTCATGTTTGGCATTTTTGACAGTTTCTTCATGTGGTCCTGTGATATATATAGTGTTTCCAGCAATTTTAATAAAAACATCCTCATTTTCACTTGAAAACTTTGAAACGAAAACTTCGGCACTGTATTTAGCGAAATCACTGATTGTAACACACTCTTTAGTATACTGCCTTACATTATCCAATGCAGATTTGTATTTCTCTATCAGAGATCCAGAACCAGAAATAATTACTTTTCCATTTTCCTCAGTAAATTTTTTATGCAACGATTTCTCAAAATAGACAATAACTTCGAACTCGTTAACAGGAATCTCTATTGAGCTTTGTTGTATTTTTTTAAAATCCGACAAGCAGCTTTGCAGGATTTTAGGAATCCTTGAAAAAACTACCATGGTACTCGTTTCTTTCACAAAGGAAACTGAAACACCATCTTTTTTCTTTTCACTCTCAAATCGCTTGAATTCCTTACTAGTTACTTGTGGTATTTCTTGCATTTTGAGTTCAAGAAGAGCTTTTTCGAAGGGTTTAACATTATTTTCTGTTCCATATATAACTTTTCCCTCACGTTCATCACGAAAATTCACTTTTTGAAAAGGCAAATCTAGAAACAATTCTCTTAGTGCCTTTTCCTGATATTCAGTACATTTTGCAGAATACTTTTTAGACACCTCTTCAACAGTCCTGGAAATATCTTCATTCTGACTTTCTTCCTTTCCAGACTGAGTGGGTTTTTCATGTTCCTTTTTTACTATCTCCTTTAGACATCGTTCCACATTTTTAACCATCAACAAGTTCCCTTCAACAGTCCATGATTCCGTGCACAGATAGGCTCCTGTTTTTTCTTGAAATTCGTGTGTTGTAATACCAGTTCGTTGTAAAATACCGATTACTTTTGAACTAAGTCTCGCCTTAACATTAGTTACTGCCTGTAAATTAAAATATGCAAATTAGTTTCCTACATTCAGTACTATTCTATCTGACAATTGTGCCGTTTTTTAATTTTTTTTTCCCCATTTCTTATTTTTAATCTTTTTTTCAGTTCAGTAATACTAAACGTGCAAGCTGAATTTAAACACTTAATGTAAGAGACTAAACTGGAGAACTGAAAATGTATAGATCATTTGTAGTTTATCATAATTGAAATAATTTCATTTTTAAAGAGGCTGGGGGTTGTGGCCATTTTTAGACTATATTGATCTCCTTTAGAAGAAGAGCTCCATATGAAGATATAGAAAATGATCAAATTTTAAAACTAAAATTTTTGAAATTTTTCTTTGCCAAATGATAGTTGACAGCTTAAGATATCATATCTAAAAAATTAAGTTAAATCTGGTGGTAAATTTGTGGTTAATTTGTTGACCCCCAGCCTCCTTAAAGGATTACAAACAACATTTCATGTAATATTATCATTTTACATTTTTATTCAAAATACTAAAAGGTTAGCCATCAAACAGAAACTAATTATCCACAGTAGATGTTGATTCCAGTACATTCAGGAAATAAAAAATACTCAGAAAAAACTTCTGTAGACTAAATCGTTATGAAAAATCATAAAATTAAACAAGAGAATTTGTGTCCTCCGCTTAAGGAATAAATCGTTATGAAAAATCATAAAATTAAACAAGAGAATTTGTGTCCTCCGCTTAAGGAAAAAGGAAGGGCATGCGCAGATCTAGGAGGTGGGGGGTCGGACCCCCTGGATTTGCAGAGTTATTAAATGTATAAACTGAAGCAAATTAAAGAGCAAATATGGATATAGTATAGGATATACTATTTGATTGTTTATTCTCTAAAAAGATTCTTTTTATACAAAATTTTTATCACACTGTAATAATGATTTTATAAGAAGGTTTGTACACGCCAGACGTCATAAGTTCTTCATTTCATATGTTTAATAGTATCATTAAGTAAATCGAAAGAAAAAAAAAAAACATTTCAAAGAAAGGAAAAATACAGGATCGTCCGGGATTTGAACCCGGGACCTCTCGCATCCAAAGCGATAATCATACTCCCAATCCTTAACATACATAGTCAAATGCAAGCAGGTCACATACATTTATACAGGATTATATTCACGTTCGAAATTGTCAAAATTTTACACAACGCATGGTGTCTAATTTAGCTTTTACTAAACAGTTCTATTCGATGTAATTAGAATATTAAAAGTAGGTCGACAACCTGTATAATATGTAATAACTCTTCACATGCTCCTGTGCTAAAAATAGTGTCACGTGACTTTTAATACAAACGGGGAGCAACTGTAAGACTTTGAGCGTGATCGATACCAACAATGTCCAATTGACTTTTGAAAAAAATGACCAAAAATTTAAAAAAAAAAAAAACGGGGCGGGACACTTTGAAAGGGGCGGGCGGGACCATAGGGAGTTATGGTATAAAATTTCATTGCAAACGCTCAAAAGCTTCTTGAGGTATCGCCCGGAAACAAAAGTATTACACTCAGACAGAATGTATGAATCTACGATCTCGACCTGTGACCTTTTGACGTCAAAATCAATAAGAGTCTTTCTAAGGTGATAGAAAGTTGTGGTATAAAATTTCATTGCAAAAGCTTCTCGAGATATCGCGCGGAAACGAAAGTGTTAAAACAGACATAATTTATGAATTAATGGCCATGACCATTGACCTTCTGACCTCCAAATCAATAGAGGTCTTCTTTAGGCCATAAGGAGTTGCTATGTAAAATTTCATTGCAAAAGCTCAAAGGCTTCTATAGAAATTGCGCGGAAACGAAAGTGATACAGACAGAAAGAAAGACGGACGGACAGACCCAAATTAATATCCCTCACTTTCAGTGAAAGAGGTGGGCAATATTAGACTTTATATCAAAACATTCCATATCTTGGCAGGTTTATTGGTATGGATCAAGCATATACTGTCTGAAAAGCTAACGATGACCTTTAAAATATTACATCTATTTAACTTCATTGAGGATACGGATATCAAAAGCAAATTTTTTTTAGGCATCAAGCTGCTCTTGTTGAAGTCTTCAAATATGTTAATAATAACAATTACAATTTTTCTAATCTTTATGCAACACAGGTCATTGAATAAATCAGTCTTTAGTGTATGTTGCTTAATGATTCTATTCGGAAAGTTGCTCACAATATCACAGAGCTCTATTTATCCAGAAATTTTTACCGCAATTATTGAAAGAATTGTATAGCGGTTTAATCAAACACTTTACTACAAACTTAAATAAACCTTGCAAAATTAAAACAATAGACCCAGAGACCATAACGTTCTCCTGAGTCAATATGACCCTGCCGTTCTTCATAAGTAGATGATACATTTTCATATAAAACTTTGATTCCCTGTTGTGACCCCACCCTGCCCCCAGGTGTCATGAATTGAACAAACTCTAAACTATTTGAAATTGCTTCTATATTCATATGACTAATCATTGGTTTGCTGTTCTTGAGAAGAAGATTTTTAAAGATGCAGATCCATTCTTCCTCTTGGGGTCATTATTTGAACAAACTTGAATCTAAACTACCTGGGGATGCTTCCATAACAATACGACTAATGATGGCTTTGATGTTCTTCATCAGAATTAAGGTTTTTAAAGATCGCTTCCTATATATCTTTACGTAAAACTCTGAAGTCACATTATGGCCTTCCCATCTGCCGGGGGTCAAGATTTAAACAAATTTGAATGTACACTACCCGAGAATGCATCCATAACAATATAAATAGCCGTGGCTTTGCTGTTCTTGAAAAGAGAATTTTTGAAGATTATTTCCCATATATTCCTATGTTAAATTTGGATTCCCCATTGTTGCTTCGACCTATTCCCGGGGTCATGATTTGACAAACTTGCATCAACTCTACCTGAGGATGCTTCCATATTATTATTACTTATCATGATTTTGCTGTTCTTCAGAAGATTTTTAAAGACTTTTCTTATATATTCCTATGTAATATAAGTTACATAGTTTTTTAGTGACAGGGTACGGGATGATACCTGGTTAGTAAATTTCATACCTGGCGAGGCAAGCCGAGCCAGATATGAAATTACTATGTTACTATCTAACGAATTTACCCCACCGATAAAATATTTATGCATTGTCTGTGGTTTGTAAAATTGTTTTTCTCACTATATATAATGTTTCGTCACTCATACAATGCCTATTATGACGTCAGGTTGTGTGACGTAATGTTGTTTTGCGAGTGTTTCGTGCTGTAATAACGTACTGACAGTTTCGAAGACTTTCAGTAAAGGGAGAAAAAGGTTCCATCTTCGTTACTTACATTAGTTAACTGTAACATTGTCAACAGACACTCGGCAAATCGCGTGAACTCGAGTTGTTCGAACGTTACAAAAGAACGATAACTCCGTATCGACCATGTATTGATTTTCAAGCGACTAGGTATAAGTAATACACCTCCTTCACGTGACAGACTTCAAGCAATCGTAAGCAAAGATTTTATCGAAAAATCAACAGAGGTGGGGTAAAACTTCAATCACCCATTGTGGTCCCAACCTACCCTGGGGGTAATGATTTGAACAATTCTTAATTTACACTATGGAATGAAGGTTTAACTATTTTGGCTTACTGGTTCTTGAGATTTTTAAAAGATGACACAAAATTTTTCACTTATTCTTGATTATCTCCCCTTGAAAGAGAGTGACTCTATATTTGGGGGAAAAAAAACTTGAATTCCCTTCACCCAAGGGTCTTTTGTGGCACGTTTGGTTGAAATTGGCCCAGTGGTTCTTGAGAAGAAGTCAAAAATGTGAAAAGTATACAGACGGATGGACGGACGTACAGACGGATAGACAGACGGACGCTAGACAAAATGTTATCAGAAAAGCTCACTTGACTCTCAGCTCAGGTGAGATAAAAAAGACTAAGTAATGTTTACAGATAATGAATACACAACACCAGTCATTTCATTCAATGAATAATTTCGATGAATAAGAATTCCTTCATATGTTCACAATTAATAGATACCTGAATAGGAAATTTTGTTAAAACAAAATCTTCAATCGAAAAATTCTTGAGGAACATTTCTGCATCTACAATAATAAAAATATCCTATACAATTATCACAACATCCAATGACATATAATTACATGTAATGATGTGGAACCAAATAATATTGTAGAATTTTTAGTTGCTCATCAAAAGTTGTGTGCCTATTTTACCTTCCACAGATCTGAATCTAAGTAGTGCACACACATCTTCTAGAAAGGGACAAATGATATTATCACATTCAACATCTTTCAAAATTGGTTCCAACTTTCCCATGGTAAGAATGGTTCCTTTCATACTTTTCAACAAAAGATAAAGTTGATCCTCATCGGGGAGAGATTTCTTTCTGAAATCGAATTACCTATAAGAATACTTCTTGTTTTTTTTTTTAAAAGCAAACATGGCTGCAATATCTTTTTAAAAATATAGTTATATGATCAAAATAAATATTTCTATTAAATAAATAAAATTTTATACAAAATCATTACAGTTTACGAAATCAAGATCAAGAAATTAATGTTTTTGAAAGAAATTAATATGTATATGTAAAATGTATAATATATAATGTATAAAACCAGGTATAAAACCTGGTATAAAACTTTAGTAAAATAGAGAAGGAAAACAACCGTGGGATATGTAAATATAGACAAATGTAAACTATATTTATTTTTGGCTGATAATGCTTTTGAAATAGATATTGACTAAAAATTTTGCAGACAAACATATGCAAAATACAAAGTTATCAGTTATTCCAATTATACTTACTCCTTTTCCGAGGTTACAACAGAAGGTAGTTCAGGCAAGTCTTCTCTACCTAAAAAAAATTTCAGCTAAAGTTATTGATCCACGTACGAGAAGTTTGAAAAGTCAAGGATAATAGTCAGTCAAATACTGACGGACGTTTTTCATACTAATTGTATGCCATTATTTACACACTGAATTGTCTACGGACTTTTCCGTTATTTCCCGATCATGACAATCACACGGCGTGTGTGACCGGTCGGCAGGGGATGCTCACTCCTCCATGACACCCGTTCCCACCTCTGATGTTTAAGAGGTTCGTGTTTGCTCTACTCCTGATCTGAATTGCTTAAATGGACTTATATGTCCTTAAAAACTACTTTTAAGTTAAAACTGACTCTAAATGTGTACCCATCCTAGTACCAGGGACAAGCATTTAAACAGATAAATAGCAGATAAATAGGGTTACCCATATCTTTCGTTAATACTCATCACTTATCCTCATGCCATGTGGAACACTGAAGAAAATTTGTGGAGGCTTTCACAGAATTTTGTGGGCACTGTGCTTCTCCTATTTTATTTTTCAAAGGATATTTGAGATTTCTCATAGGAAAGACAGACATTTCCATTCTTTCTTTATCGGGAGGGGGGTGCCCATATCTTATTTGCAACTCCTCTTATTCTAATGAATAAAATTTAATGAGACTTTCACAGGATATTTTTATTTTGTGCTATTGTACACCCCCTCGTTTATGTTCTGATCAGACAAATATTCGGGTTTCTCATAGCAAAACAGGAACTTTGCGATTATACTCATATGGGAGGTAGGGGTATCATTTTGTGCTCACAGTACATTCAGTTTGATAACCATTTATCCTTGTTGTAAATGAAGACCTTATTGTAACTAATTTGAATCCTTTTTCGCAAAGGATACCTATATCTTCAAGCAACTGACCACAAAGTTCGGGATGAGAGATCGCGAATTTCAAAAGTTGAATAGATAGAATAAGTTTGGTTGATGGACAAATTTAAATCAGAAAAGTCGATTCGTGTCCATGCTCAAGCAAGCTAAATAGTTATACATAATTTTAATGTTTCACGAAATTTGGAAAAGTTTAAAATGATGTTAAAAATAACTCTTTAATTTAAAAGTTCAAATATGAATGATATGAGTTTTACATGTTCTCTGGTTTATGGGTATTTTTTTTTCGAAAGGATATGACAGATCTCTTTATAATTACCTTCATCACTTTCTTGCGGAGAGGTAGATGTGTGTTCAAGGTCCTTCGACGACTTTTTCTACAAAAGCAACTGAAATTGTCAGGTGTAGCTAGATGCATATATTAGTGTTCACTAAAAAGATTGTGAAAACTCAAACATTTTGAAAAAATGCTTAATGTTTTGAAATATACCCTTCATTATTAAAAACATGTTAAGGGGCAATATAAAATATTCAGTGCCTGACCAACAAGAGCCCCGCGCCATAACGCTCGCTATAGCCCTGCTGTCCTTCATCAGAATTTTTTACCCTACATATTCCTATGTAAAACTTAGATCACCTTCATGACTCAACCTTTCTGCCTTGATTTGAACCTACCTTACATGTCCTGGGGATGCTTCCATATAAATCTGACTTACGAGGACTTTGAATATGTTTACCAATAAATTCTTGGAAAACTTTTGATTGCCCCCACACTATCCACTAAGGTTATGTTTTAAATGTGACTTCGCCCTATACCCACAGGGGCAATGCTTTGAACAAACTTGAATCTGCACTTCATGAAAAAGCTTTCATATAAATTTAACTAATCATGGCCTTGTTCTTGAGGAGATTTTTAGAGACATTTTGCTACATATTCCTGTGTAAAAAAAAATTGAATAATCAATTTTGACCTACCTTTCTCCTGCAGGCAATGGTTTGAAGAAATTTGAGTCTACACTACCTGGGGATGCTTCCTATAAATATGACTTAGCATTGCTTTGCTTTTCTTGCCAGGATATTTGAAAATCTTTTGTGGCCCAACCATACATATGGGGGTAATAAATTGATTAAATTTGAATCTTCATTCATTGGGGAAACATTAAATTTCATCTAAATACGGGGATCATGATTTTAAAAAAAATGAATATTCAATGATTGAGGTCTATTTTACAAATGTTTCATATTTCCTGGCTCATTGGTTCTTGAGAAGATTTTTAAGTCCTTTTTTAAGTGTAGGTTTCAACTGTAGATTGATAAATTTCAAATTGATAAAATATGTCAATACATACAAATAGTAAATAAATTGTCATTAATTTTTTTTCTTTCGAAAAATATAATTTTTGACTGAGCAGAAATGAGATAACATTCATACATCCATTTTACGACATTTCACTCGGAGAAATGGATTTAAATCCATTAATTCTCCGAGTGAAATGTCGTAAATAGTGCGATTGCTTGTTTTTTTTATTTTACTTACTGATTCATATCTTTCCTTAATATGCTCACAAAACAGTCGCTCCAGTAACTGCATTACAGTAATGATATTGTCTTTTTCTCCGCGGACAGAATATCTTTGGAGGGCAGTTGTCGTATCATTTTCTCTATTATCTTTAAAAAGAAGAAGAAGAAGAAGCTCAAACACATATACACACGGTGCATTTGCAAAATGTTAGTTGTAAAATTTGAAGACTATTGATTAGAGGACTATAACTGCTCCTCATCATCATGGAAATAATTTGCCTTCTATGAAATATTATTTTATCCCTTTGATACTTTATCCATTTTATAGACAATATGATAATTGCTAAATAAATAGTGAAATATTCGAAGATGTTGATCATCACTTGTAACTATTGGATGTAGTTTTCGTTTTCAACTCTGAAGATAATTCCATAAATTGCATAATTTGAGTGAGGAACAACTAAATCTGAAAATTAAAATGAAAAAGAAAAGAAAAATTATGAAGTAGTAGATTCAATTTTTTAAAAAAAAATACCCAAACACTGATATTATCATACTAAACTAGAACCAATCTTTAAAAACAAAATAACGTCATTAGATTAAATAATGATTGTATGGTTTGTATAACAGCAGGAGTAACCTTCTTTTTCTCCATCTCTTTACTTATTTCTTTTGAGTGAAATCCTATCCGTATGAATGGATGAGTGATTCAAGTTAACCCCCTTGTCAGGTTGGATTGTAAGAGTATGTAAAATCCTGACTGTATAATTATTTGAAAAAATGTGTGAAGAATATTAAAATGTCATTTTTGGTCAGCTTTTTTTATTCTTGTAAAGGCTTATCTCACCAAACTGCCATCAATCCGAAATCTCAACTCTTATACAACTTACCATAACAAATAAAATTTGAAAATTGTTGTTAAATATAGTTAATATTATGTAAAAAAAAAAAAAAAAAAATAGTAACCATAGAGCTCTTGTGATAAGGAAATCAATAATTACCTTCTTCAGGCTCCAATATAGTTTTAAATACCTATGAAACAGAAAATTGTTGTAGGCAGAAAGACGAATTCGTTGCACATTAAAACAATCATATGAATTTTTGCCTTTATTCATAAATCAACAAATTAATGTCAAAACATCAATTGTATCTGCATACCATATTTTCAATGCATGAAAAAGGACTGAATTAAAGAAATATGTTCGTTTTTTTCCAGAAACATGAGAGCACGCAATTGTCTAAAATATTTTCAAAAAATATATATACATGTATTTAAAAATTAATAGTTTATCAACTCACCTTGAAGATTTCTTCATCTGTTTTGTAAATGACAAACAGGATTTTTTGCACAGACGTCTTCGGGTGTAATTGAACATATTCATCAACTATTTTTTTCACACAAGATGCAACTACATCTGCAGGAATCTTTAGCTGCCCAGTGCCAATAGCAGGAAATGCAATGGTTTTGAATTTCATCTCATCCGCTTTAGCAATGCAATTTTTTACAAAATTTTGAAGAACCTAGTTTTAAAAAAGCAAAAAAGGAATTCAAGCATATTTCAAACAAAGATTCCCATGACTTAACGTCTTATTTCCACTGTAACGGAGATATATATTTTAAACTGTTGGAAACAAGAAAACGTGTTAGTATTTTAGCAGAATTTTTTTAACCTAATACCAAATACCGGTATGAGTGTTTGATAAGATGAAAATAATTTTTTGACACAAGTTGTTTCAACTTTCTTTAGAAAATTCGGGTATATTTTTGTAATTCTGGTCTGTTCGTTCGTCAATCTTTTACACTGTCTTACTCCTCAAGCTACTCTTATATTTTCAGCAGTAGCCAACTCATGTTTTGGAAAATTTTTGTTTGTTTGTTTGTGTGTTGTAAAACGATCCTCTCGAGAATTTTTCCACTCATATGGAGACACCACCACTTGCCGGTGGAGGGCTGCATATTTTAACCTACGCTCGGCACTCAGGACAAGTGAGCAGTGAGGGATCTTTATCGTGCCAACACCTACTGCAACACGGGACCTCGGTATATACAGTCTCATCTGAAGGACTGGTCTGCAGGCGACACAAAAAGCATATTTAAAAGTGAGTTTTTTCAAAGAATAATTAAAAAGCAGGTATCGAGCGATGTTTTTTGTGGATTTGTTGTTCAGGGTGCAATTCTGTGTCTGTAGTTTACATTCTTGATTGCATTATTTGCACATCAGCTTAAAATTGGATGACACCATAGCTATTCATAGAATAGCATTTTATCTTAAGAATTGCTGTTTGTGTTGTTCATTCCCGAGACTAAAGAGCCAAGATATATCCCGAGCGCAGATATCGTCATTTACAAAAGCAATTGTTGATTGGTCGAACGATATCAACAAGTTCCAATCACAATTCGAGAAAAACATCTCGACTTTTGATAGCACAATAGACTAAGGGTTTGCGAGAAGAGCAGTGTACCAAAAACCCTTGGATAGCGAAGATGATTTCGCAGAAATACATTCATATTTTGGAATGTGACTCGGAGTATCTTGCAGATGTGCAGTAGGGTTTTGGAATTAGATTTTTAATCCTGGAGGACAACTATGGGACGAAAACGACGTTTTTCCAACAAAAATCTAGTTCCCACTATTTTTGCAGTACCTAAATCATTTTTTGGATGGTGTTTGGTGGTGTCATGTAGATGTTTATGTTTCAGAATTTGATTTTCACTGTGGGAGCAACATGGAATCAACGATAATGCTTCTTTTCTCTTTTTTCCCACAAAATCTGATTCAATGAACTTCCCTTCCAGTTTGCACAGTACTTTAACCAAATTTTGGAATAAGTCTCGGAAAGTTCTGTAAATATACCCTTTGGGGCGATTGGGGGTCAAAAACCGCCTTTTTGTAAATTATAGAATTATTGTGGCTTCTTTCCTTGTTGCCAAAATATGAAGTGAGTGTATTTAGCGGCAAACACCTATGTTGGGCTATTACTGTGTTATTACTGTACATCTCGTATTCTAAAAACGCATATGCTGCACATCTGGACCCTCAATTTAATCCAACCCCATATAGGATTTAATGTTCAGCTGAATGAAATGTGTGGAGATATCATACTTTAAATTTCAAACTTTATTTTTCCGTAAATTATCCCCATTTAAGCTATATACCAGGTACTTTCAAGTTTCCAGTATAAAAGAGAAACTATATATACTGTCTTAAAACACTAATGCTCGCACTTATGTGTTTGTCTCTGAATATAAACTACCTTCCTTGTACCTGGGTAGCGAAGAAGCCTCAAGTCATTCTCTAATTAAAATAAAATATGTGTATATATATACATATATCAAATTCAGCACAAATACATACGTGTGCAATCACCCTCGAAAAAATAATCTGGTTAATGCACAAAATCATAGAAGAGTTCTGGAAACCAGGTTTTTGTTGTTTTTTTTTTTTTTTATTATTATTATAAAAGTCGTCTCTTCGACTCCTTTTTTGATCCAGGATAAAAATAAAAATCTTATTGCACATGTACAAGACACCAGCAATTATGTAGTAGTTACCGTATAAGCTTTTATTGGTTTTCTCTAGATACCCTATAGAGAGGTTTAAAGGCCACGAGAAGGCGCACCCTTCGAGTGCGGGCATTGTACAATAGCACTCTCAGATTTCCTAATATGGCAGAGAGATGATGTATAAGTTGCAAAAAAAATTCCTAATATGGTTTGTCACCTGACATAATTATAATGGCACGTGCTATACACTGTACATATATATTACATTTTACTGCGCATTTTGCGCACTTGCAATGAAAAATCGAAAATGGACAAACATAACGCGATGAGCATGGATCTCGATTTTCTGGAACTGCCTCAAAATTTTGAATGGGACAATTCTATCGATGATCAAACGCTCTCACAGATAGGACAGTTGAAAGAGGATGAAGTAAACGTGTTTGATGGTATTGGGGATTAATCTCACTCAAATAGATTTTAATTTGACCTTGGAGCCGGTCACACCCGAAAATGTTATACAGCAGTTGGACCATTCTGACGATCGATTTGGAAAGTTTTACGATGACGACGATATGGAAAACCTTATAAAGTCTACCGAGAGTAAAAACACAAGAAAAAACACAAGCTGGAGTGTGAAAACTTTCAAAGAATGACGATCTGCACGTAACTTTGATACCGGAAGTGAAATTCCAGAGCTTGAAAATTTAACCGAACCTGCACTTATTAACAAATGGTTAGGTAAATTCGTTGTCGAAGCTCGCAGGAAAGATGGCCAGCCATATCTCCCAAAATCACTCTACATGTTATGTGTCGGAATACTAAGGTACTTTCGGGAATGCGGCATACACGAAAATTTTCTTGACGAAAAAGACTTTTATGAATTTTTAGTGCGCGAATGAGTGAATTAACGTTATCAAGAGTCGGAACTCGCCCAAAACAAGCGGAACCCATAAGCATAGAAACTGAAAATCAACTATGGGAAAAGGGATTACTCGGTGATGGGACTGGATAAAACGTTTTTGAATACAATATTAACATTTCTGATTGAAATATGTCGACCTTTTGTTTTTTTTATCTTTTCTTTTTTTTTTTTCTTTTTTTCTTTTTCTTTTTCTTTTTTTTTTTTTTTTTGACTATATATTGTGTATGTATACGTGGAACGTTATTAAAAAGTTTAAATAAATTTTAATTCATTTCCTATGCAATGCAAGGCTCCACCTATAGGTTTTGAAGGTTCCCCCCAGGGGATATGGTGCAGATAACCCATATTTAAAACAATAGAAAACATGGCGGCCTATGGTACATCTTCCAAAAGGTTATTTTATTACTGCGTGAAATGTAAGATTTCTGGGAACAAAGTTTTTGTAGAATAAAAATGTATGACCTCGACTTGACGAAATGGTCCGTCTACTTGATCAATACATAGGGCCCATGAAGGGTGTGACCAGTCAACAGGGGTTGCTTACTCCTTCTATGCATCTAATCCTCCTCTGGAATTTTCTGGGGTCTGCGTTTATGTCCTGTTCACAGATTTGTATTGTGTAAAGTTTTATGAGATCGATCACTGTTTGTTTATTGTTTAACATCTCTCTCGAGAATTTTTCACTCATATGGAGACGCCACTACTTGCCAGTGGAGAGCTGCAAATTTTGACCTATACTCGGCACTCAGGGACATTGAGCAGTGAGTGATCTTTTTCGTGCCAGCATCTACTGCGACAAAGGACCTCGGTTTATACGGTCTCATCCGATGGACTGGTCTCAACGTACCACAGTGGGATTCGAACCCGCGAAGTAAGGATCAACTCCTTACTCCGCGACTCTAGAACGAACGCTCCAACCACTGCGCCACACGGACGAACCGTCACTGTTTGTTATCTTTCATATATCCATATATTCCTATTTAAAATTGTATCTCCCACTGCGGCCTCACCTTACTCTTAGGGGTCATGATTTGAACAAACTTAAATCTACACTGTGTAACGAAGGTTTCACATAAATTTCTGCTTTTCTGGTCCAATGGTTCTTGTGAACAAGATTTTTTCAAATGATACCACCAAATATCACTAATTTTTACTTATCTCCCTTTGAAAGAGGCCATTTGAACAAACTTGAATGCCCTTTATACAAGTATGCTTCTTGGCAAGTTTGGTTGAATTGGCCAAGTGGTTCTTGAGAAGAAGTTGAAAACGTGAAAAGTTTACAGTCGGACAGACAGACGGACATCAGACAAAATGTGAGCAGAAAAGCCCACTTTCAGCTCATGAGATCTAAACAGGTCGGTTAAAAATGGAGCATAATTACTACCCATCAGGATTCTAACAGTTTGTTAGAAAACTTGGTCTACGAAGACTACACACACGTTGTCAGTGAGAAATTCCAGAATATTTTTTATATCAACTTCAGAGTACTTATTTGTAAAATCAGAGTATTTTTTAACAAAGAATTTTGATGATGACCAATCACAAGATGTGAAAATTTCCAGGTTCCATTTTTATTGAAGGAGCAGTTGTCTAGTTTTTAATTAATCGTGAAAAATGGTTCTATTTAGTGTAGAAAAGTCGTACGTTTTGATGTTATAGACTTTTGAAAAATTGTGTGATTTTCAATTTTTTAAAAGTTCTTTAGAGTTTATGAGGATCCACATCTAATTTACATCACTTCTAGAGTATGCTGTAGCTCAATACGTCTGAAGTTTCTCCTAAACAGCAGTTAATATTTTTGGGAGGAGTGAAGAAAGAGGCTAAGTAGAGTATTTACTGAACCCGGCAATATATTGCACATTAACAGGACATCGACTTTTCGACCCCTATGTATGGGTATGTGGCCCTCAGATTGATCACGAAATTTCCTTAATCTTATTGCATATCTACAGGACACCATCAGTCATCTTTCAAAGATTATTTGATTACTGCGTAAAATGTAGAATAAGTTCTTGAAACAGGGTGTTTTTTATGATTTAAGAAAGTCATTTGGATTTTTACTGACAATAGACGACCAAAGGCGAACTAACAAGACTGTATGACAAAAGAGATGACCTTAGTTATTAGTTATATCCCGCTATCACCTGCATATTATGTTTATATTTACCATCTTATTCGATACTCAAGAGCATGATCCGAGTACGATCAGTTTTTAAACAAAGGCAGGCTACTGACAGATAAATTGAAGTTACAAAGATTTCAACAACCTTGTTTAAAGTCAGCATTTCCTAAATTCTATGGTGGATATAATGACCTTGTTGGCAAATATAACCTATCACTGGTTCGTATTTTGGCTGACCTGTTTCATTGCAATTGCAAGGCCTTTTTTTTATACTGAATGTTCCATCTACCTGAACTATACATAGGGATCACGAAGGGTGTGACGTTCGACAGAGAATGTACACCCCCTAGACACCTTCAACCATCTCTGGAATTTCTAGAGGTCCGTGTTTATGCTCTCTGCATAAATTCTTTTGTTTAAAGATTTTTTAGATCGATCACTGTTCGTTATCTTCACTCTTTTATTGGAGAAAAGTAATATATTTCCATTGTTTGATTTTATTAAAATTCGACTTATTTTTAATGCCTTGTCTCATTTGTGCTTACTTTTATAGACGTATCTTTTTCATCACTCCATGGGAAAAGTGCACCATGAAAAAGCCTTTTACAATTCAACCTGTATGCAGAAGTCTCTCGAACGTCTCCATATTCGATTTTTTTCATGGAGTGACCACTTTTGGCAATGTGAGGTATTTCATCCAACTCTTTTTTCAGTTCATCACCAGCAGCATTAAGTATTGAAATTCCGACTGCTCCGCTCGTAAGATCAAAATTTAGTGACGTTGTATTCACTATCACATCAACCTGAAAGTATCAATTCCTTCTGTAGGAAAATTTAGTCAAACCTGTAACAGAGGTCTAGAAGAACTGAACACGTTCAATTTTCCATGATAATATAGGAAACTGTAATATAAATGGAACATTGGCCTTTATATTTACACATGTTAGAAAAAATGGATTTATTTTGTAAATTAAGATTAAATAAGAGGATTCAGAGCAAACTTCACTGAAAAAATATAACCGAACATAGATCTTGAAAGAAAGTTTTCATGGTGCGATTTAGATGCTTTTTTTCGTATTCTATAGTTATCATATGCTTAGATGAGTGTATCATTTGAACAATATTTTGTGGAAATTTTCTGTTTGCTGTGAATTGATTATCAAACATGCAAGTTTGTTACACTAGAAAAATTCATATCTGGACACATGAGTAAATATAAAATGCATACTGCTGTACATCTTCTGAGGTCAGAATAGGTAAAAATACAGAAAAACAAAAACAATAAACTTTTAACCATTAAATAAAAATATTTTGAGAAAAGATTTAAATTACAAGTACCCATTTATACAATGCTGCTAACATGACATCACATTTTTATCACATAGAATGGACAAAACATAAGAATCTGTAATAGTAAAATTCTACAAAAACAATAGAAAATTACCCTTTCCTGCAATTCTGCTAATTTTCCACTGATCACTTGAAGCTCAATCTTTCCATTTTGCAGACCTGTAACACAGACAAACCGGTAACAAAGTCAAGAAACAAGGTTTTAAAAACCTTTTAGAAATCAACACTAATTTTAAAAAGAATTTATAAGACTGATAGACATTTTAATGCTCACATCACCTTTACATACAGTATGCATTTACAACTTGTACAAATTACCGAAGATCAGACTAAGAAACTCATCTCTAAAGAAACCATAACTCGCTGACAGCTATTAACTAAATAAACAATACAATTATACTATTACCTTTCAAACTACGGGAAACCGCTTCAATGCAGTTGGCAACAGAATTAAATTCTGCTTCTTCTTTGTGTGCTAGTATGATAATCAAGGCTTCTATTGTTATAGTTGCATGAACTACATGCAAGATGCATTTCACAAAGTTTTCCATTGGCCATGAACTCAGATCTTCCAATTCAAATATTATTGCTTTCTTCCTATTTTTTACAATATCTGAAAATAGCAATTCCAAAGTACTGTTCACTTGTTGTTCTTCTCTTTGATCTCCACCTTGCCACAATGGGATGTTCAGCAAAACATTTGTGTCATCACTCCACTTGATACTGCTTACAAAATCTGCAATTGTATATATATATATATATATATATATATATATATATATATATATATATATATATATATATATATATATATATATATATATATCATAGGTATAAGTTTTAAATTTAACTTGAAGTAATAAACAAAGACCACTAAATATTTCCTCTAGCAAACTTTGGACAAAAATTAAGTGTTTGAAGAAAGGTGTTTCATAGAATTTATGCGTTTTTCCCATCCAGAAAACAAGTTTCGATGGCAAGAATTTTTTTTTTCTACACATACGCTGTGCTACAATACAGACTTGTACTGGATTTCTAGAATTTATCCACTAAGGTGGTCGCTTTCAAATTAAAACATGTTATTTAGAAAATACCTTCATTTTCAGACTGTATTGGCTTGACTTTTACATCCGCAAAAAGGTGCTCTGTCCTCTTGTTGCCTTTGTGGACGCAAAATGCCGTTTTCCCGTTTATCCAACATTTTGAATTTTCAACCTGACACTGCTCATAGCAGCATTTCTTTTCATTTAAAAAAGTACATACTTCAGACGGTAAAGCATTCAAAGGCAGTAATATATCTTGTTCTTCCATACATATTGAATTAATAAACCTTTTAATTTCAGTCAATGCGGAAGATCCACCTGTTATTTCAATGCCGCCTTGTTCCTCGTCAAATTTTAATTCTATGCCATTTTTCAATCCTTCGGCTTGTATATCTTCTAGGTAGTACTTCTGAAGCCACATGAACTGTTTTTGGTTCAATTGCACCATGTTTTTTATTGACTCTTGTTGTTCAATATCATTAAGAAGCAATCTCATGTTTTCGTCGTCTTGGAGATCAGAGGTAAAGATAACTGTTGCAACATAATTGCCAGAATTTTTCTCAATTTGCATATGAATTTTTCCTTCAAAGGTGTCTTCTAATTTCTTTACACACTCTTGCCATTTCTCTCTGTTTTTCTTTACTCCCATAAAACTCATATTTAAACATTGGCTCCTCACAACAGAAGATTGCAAAATATTTTCAATACTTTGAATATCAGTTTTTGTCTTTCCATATATCATAACCATTTCAGTGTTGGTTGAATTTGGAAGTTCAACAATTGCCCAGGAACCTTCTATAGAGTTTATTTTACTGTCAATGTATTTTTGCACGCCTTCTCTTTTTAGAAAGAACTGAAACTCTTGCATTGCCGGGAACTTTTTATGCTGAATATCTGACAACCAGGAATTGTTTCTAATAAAATCACTGGCAGCAGAGCAATCATCGGTTTGTCCGATCATCATGATTTTATCTCCACTGATATACATCTTCACGGCTGGATGATTTTCATTTGCCTTCTCTACCCCATTAAACATACCAATCAAACGCAATTGAAATGTATTCAAATGAAAAACATCATAAGAAACGTCTTTTCTATTCTGTGGATTCGAAACCTTGGCATCTTTGATGTGTCTCTGAAGGTCTGATAACAGGTCTATGACATGTTCTCCTCTACCTAAGAGGAATTGTCCACATACTTCTTTCGATTCATCTATTGACACGAAGCCATCATTCACTGCAGTTGAGTCTTTAATCGTTTTTGAAAGATGTTGCATTTCATCAAATGGTGCACTAATTAAAAGTAATTCTGAATCATTGAAGGATTCCATTATCAAATGCAAACACTCTTCTACCCATTGATTAAAATCATGTTCATGACTCTCTGAGCAAATATCAAACGCAAAAGAACCCCCCTTTCTTTGTTCTACATGTATTTCACATTGCATTTGTTCTAACTGCTTTCCTAAAAAGTTCTTAGATTCCTTCGGTGTCATCAAAAGATTCCATTTCCTTAATTCATGCATTGTGCTTAAACGTTCTTCGAAAGAGTTCTCTTTTCCAGATCTAAACCGAAAGAAAACTTCTGAAAATGAAAAAAAAAAATTAACTTTATTCACAACAATTTGAAAAAAATTGATCACAAATTATTTTAATATTCTTTAATGCTGTCTTTTTTGTTGATATTGATTTCAATTATCAAAGTTACTTTCATATTATAAAAATCTTAAAATAAAATTCTGTATGACTGGCAATGTTCCAATAATTCGAAAATCTGCGTTAATCCACTAAATTTGTCAAAATATCAAATCAAAACGTCAAAGATCTCTAAGCATTTTATCGCCAATCTTTAAAGTGCTTCTTCGGGAAAGCCCATTTGCAAAAAAAAAAAATCAATCATGGAAATCATGTCTTATGTCGTACACAGGAAAAAGTGGCTCACATGTTATTCATGTGATTTTCTTTTCATTTAAAAATTGTGTGAAAATCATGTGAAATTTTGTGTTTTCATGTGAATATCTTGCAAATGGGTTCGTATCATAGTCGAATGAAATTTTTAGAATTTTCACGTAAAATTGTTTATATAATGTTTTTAAATTTTGTGTGAGTGATTGATGTGTAAATCACACAGACTTGTCACGTAGGTATATTTCGTGAAGCGCGCTAGCGCTTCATGAAAAAATATGCCTACGCGCAAGTCTGTGTGATTTAAATAAAAATAATTAACACTAAACCTAAAAACATTCCTTATATTTACATTTTACATATTTAAAAGCACCAAAAATATACTCAGTGTTTGATTTTCTCACTGCCCTTTATCGTTATATTTTTATTAACGTCGCTGTAGCTCATTGTGACGTCACTTTAGCGCGAGTTTCTCAACGTATTTTTCTACGCGTGAGTATACACGAAAATGGCTCTAAAATCAATTTCACAGTTGGCTTTCTAGAAAAATACAGCAAATGTAAATATATTCATATAAAAAACTAAATGTCAAATCAAGACTAAGATCTTCAATTTCTTTGTTTAACTCTTTTTCATTAGAATTTTACAAATTATTTCAATGAAGTTAAGTAACTTCTTACAATGGTCTTTGTAGTTTAATTCCAATACAATTCTAACAGAAACCAAAGGTTTCTGCATCATACTATGTAAAATCATAAAAGACCACAAGCTAAAAATCTATTAAGTAAAATGAATATGTGTATTCACATAAAGTTGAATTTTTTGCTCTCGTTTTCTCAATAATTTTATAGAAAATGATACAAAAAATGTTTTGTTTTGTAAGGGTTAAAGGCATAGAGTAAGAATTTTTAATATCAAAAAGTCTACAATTTCTAAATATTTTAGAATTTTGACATTTGCATCATTTAAACACAAAATAAGTCCAAATATATATATACACATATATCATCACGGTTCCTTTTCGTTCCCGGTGGATCAGAGGGCCTCAGCAACAGTCCTTTCTGTTTTTATATAAATAATCATTAACTCTTTACAACTTACTGAACTGTGACGCAACATACACTTAATGTTCACGTCATAGAAATATGACGTTACCTTTTCCCCGCAAGCACTTTATAGCGAGGTACAAGTTTCTCTAAAGTTTAGCGTAAATAATTATGACGTAATATTTTAATAAGATTATAACTTTTCTTATTTTCTGACATTTTAGCAAGTATGAATTAAAAGGGAATTGGCATTAAATTGAAGATTAAATTTACTTTTGAAAGTGCGTGAAAAATGCGTGATTGCGGGGAAACGGTATATGCGTGATTTTGCGTTAGAAATAGGAAATGGTATATGCGTTAAAATGCGTGACTGCGGGGAGGAGGGTTAATATAAAGAGAGTTCTTTCCAAATTTCCTTTCATTTTCGAAAAGAAACACAATAAAAGATATTTAAAATTTGTGATATTTTATATTCACAGATTCTTTTCTGTTACTGATAAGGTTTAAGCTGTATTTTATTAAAACGAAAAGGGGAGGGTATGTATTGAAACAGATGATGTCTGTGCTGAAAAATCAGGGATGCAGCATATTTGTGAAATATCTTAAGCACACAGGTCAATCTATCCTTTCAAATACTTATGCAATTTTTTTCAAGTCAGTATAGAATTCCAATATGACAAATCTATTCTTTTGAAAAGTGACTAATCTTTCTTTTATCTAAGCTTATCAGGTTTGTGTGCTGCAAGATAAGCTGTGAAAAAACAAAAGTAAATAATTTCCATACAAAATGACCAGTTCTGTCATTTGGATGTTTTAAAAACGTTTATAATCTTTTCATACGGGAAAAAATCCTATAACTTCCTGCTAGAAATATATGTAATTGCTATAGATAGAAAGCACAATCTTGTGATTCTGTCAGACTGGAAAATTAATTTCTTCAGTTAAACACTACTTTGAAATTTTCAAAAATATTTCATTATGGAATGAACTTTCTTAACACCCCTTACATCCATTTTTTAGGTTTCCTAAATTTCATTTGAATGAAAAATAACATGCAATGTAGTATTTCAAAAGACATAATCCATGCTCAATTATTAAGTTTTTACATACACATCTATGTAAAATCATATATTTATACAGTCAGTTTTTTTTCCTTTAAAATAAAAAAAAATCTGTGCAAAACAGTTTTCGCACAAATATCTTGCGAATTTTAAATGGTCTGATATTCATATGAAATTTATATCAAAATTGCATGGAGGTTTCACATAAATTCCATGCGTATTGTTCTTCTCTTTGTGAAAAAATTCGCATGAAAAAAATGCGAGCAAATTTTGCCTGTGTATATAAAATTATTTATATTGCTTGATACTGACTGTAGACAGCCAGCATCAAACCTAATAAATGCTCTAGATCTGTTACGTTTTGTCGCGGATCAACATATGTCGCAAAGATGTTAAATTACAGAGCATCATTGTAGTCTGAGGCAAAATAATGTTACTTGAAGAGGTTTCTTCGCCTTTTGGGTGATCCTTTAGTTTCTTGTCCAAATTATTGTTGAAGACCTCGTTTGCAACATATTTCTCTACAAAAAAGTTATATCTGTGTATTGGTTATTCAATTACATAAAAGGAGATGGGTGAACATGACGACCGATAAGCCTATAGTGGAACAAACATGAAGATGAAAAATTAAATTTCAATTATATCAAAAATTTTCCTTGATATTTCGTCTAACATTAAAATATGCTTTATGTAAAATCTCTACAATTTGCAAAAATCCCTCAAAGATTGAAGTTATTTGCCTGTGAAATATTAGACACACACTAAAGCGGGCAAAAAGAGTCATTTTCTCATACTATAACACTATTTTTCGATATGAGTGGGTCTTCGCTCCACCTTTTTGAAAGTTAATCCTCAAAGTTTGCATAAAAATATACATTTTTTGGTTACCAAAAATATGGAGCAATGACCCACTATAACTTAAAAATCTACTTTTATGACATAACATTCGCATCTTTTCGAGAAATACTTGAAGTCCATTAAGTCAAGGGTCATATCACAAACATGATTTAAATGCCACTGTTCGTCAGGACTTGTGTAGTCTAGTGGTTAGCGTGCTAGTCTCGAAAGAAAATGATATACAGGATTTTTATTGCTAGGGTTCGAACCCCACGAATACCACATTAATTTTTTAAATAAAAGAATAAATTTTCTTGAGAAAATTTTCCCCAGAAAAGTGTTGTTTATCACAATTTCATAAATTTCAATAATGAGAGCATTACTCTATATATTAAATTCAGAAACTGAACATGATTTTTATATTTCTGAAGCTATAGGCTTTCTGCACGCTATGTTCGCCCATCTCCTTTATAGCAAAAATTTTACTCAAACAGTTATCATCATTAATTCTTATATTGTCCACTCTAAGAAATGTTTTGTTGCATCAAATGTTTAAGGTAGCTAGCGGATTTACAGCATAAACGAGAAAACAAGACCTAAAAATTTTACATTATATCCATTGGAATTTGTACTATATCACCTGATTATTTAATCAAGATTGCCTACGTAGTTTTAATTCAACATTGATGTAAACACGGTATAGTATGTGGTATTATTTTTATCTTTCCTATAGAATGAAAAAGGAAAAGATATAATATACAATGATGGATCTTTTCAACAATTCAAATTGTGAACAGGGCAAAAACACCAGATGGGGAATTAGGTGCCTTAAAGGAGTGAGCAGCGGTCGACCGAATATATATATATATACTCAAAAACTCGCTGTATATACAGCTGTAAATTCTAATGCTCAAGTCCTATTATTATTTTCCATAAGATCATTTTTGCAGATTTTGAACATGAAGACTTTTCAATTATGAGTAGAATTTTGCAGTACCATAGTGTAGATAAAGTGCTGGTCTTTCTTACACTTCCGGCAGTTGAGTAAGTGACGTCAGAATGGAATATGCACAAAACTGACGCTTGGGTCGTAAAATATGATATCGAGAGCAAATCCACGACCGACATAAACCTCTCGGTTTTTAAATTGTTACCTGCTTTTTCTTCATCTTCTTTTGTCACATTCCTTTGTGTTTTATAGAAGATTTTCTTTGATAAATTTTCAAAAACTTCCTTCTTGATAGGTAATGATGCTGGATTCGTGTCTTCTTTACATACAAGATCTTTTATTATAATAAAAAGAATTTTATTAAGGACGTTCGATCCTGAGCTTTTGAGCAGATTTTGGTCTGGGGCTTTATTTCTAAAATTCTGCATTATTTTTAAGTTCTAACATTAAATCTGGATACTACAATGAAAATTATACTATATCCAATGAAAAAACCGCGATTAAATTCCATTCAGATAGGATTAAGCCAGGAACTATATTTTGTGGCGGAAGATTTTTAGAAGAAAATGATCATTTTTTCCCTTTTGAAATATATACAGTACTGTTAAGTTTAGTTTCCTATTTTTCCATGCTGGTTGCACACAGAGCTATTTTGTGCATTGAAATGTTTAATGCTGGTTCTAAAATATTAATTAAATCAGTTTTTTGTGAATTCTATCATCATATTGTGACAAATATAGAAAATATATTCTGAAACTCCAGGAAAAAATTGAGCCAATTTTATCAT